CCATGTAACGCATGCGCACGTGTGTGTGCGGGTGTGTGTCACAATGAAGTGCACTTTGCTCGCACTTCGTGCACACCCGTGTGAAGCGACTATAATTTTAGTGCAATGAGGTTTGTGATGACAATATGAAATCACAGACTACGATTTTGCAAAATCACAAAAACACATACCACTATTTTGCAAAATCGCAAATCGCAAATGGTGGATTTTGCGAAACCGCAAGTCGCACAATGGACATAATCACAAATCACATTCAGTTGTGAAATCACAAAATTGCAAGTTGCAATTCGCAAGTAGCGACTCAGAAAACCACATCTGGTTTGAACTGCACATAGGGATGTGTTTGGGTCTCAGAGGCCGAACCGTAGCTATTAACATTTTAAGTTAACTCAATAGTCACGACTTGATCGAGTGTGATCAAGGGACATAATTCAAACATTAATGGTCATTAACTGTTAACTAACCATGAACAATCACAAAGTTTGAAATCATGATTGTACAAAGAGTCTCTTCAAACCAACACATTCCTCTTCGTGATGACTCTCCAAAACTTATATAAAGGGTGTAAACCAAGCCAATACATAGACAAGTTTTCACTTCTCACTACAAATACACTTGTCTCCCTCAATTTAATCTACTACCATCTCACAAAAGGTTTCATTGGAGAATCTTCAACTTTGTTGGTTGTAATTTCTCACCCAAGGCTTTGTTGTATCCTAGGAACGAATTTGCCAATAATCCAACAGCAAACTCAGTAAACTGAGTAGGGGCAAATAATGTTCTAAATATGTCTTTAGATACACCTCAGAGCTTCTCCTCTAGATTTCAGTAACCCCATTTCCCAACATACTTAAATCTCTTTGGCCTTCATCTTAAATGACTTCAAAGGAACTCAATTCTTAGGCATCTGAAATGGGTGGAGTTCTATAAATTTCTGTTCATAGTAGGTATTAGTTATTATATCTAGAACTTCCATCTTGTCGTTAACTTAAGTTATCTCTTTAAATTTAGGTGTTTTTGCATTTTGTAGCAAGGTGTTTCTGCTTCTTTTTTCCTGATTAAAAATAATTCTTGCTTATTCAAAAACCAAGAAGTAACTACAATATTGTTGTAAAGAAGACCCTCCCTACTCCCCTCCCAACTTCAAAGTTCATATCTCTAGGAATATATAATAGTAGGGTCATCATCATCATCCATGCCTTATCTCAACTATATGGGGTCAGCTACACAAATCTTGTTTCACCCATCTATTCTATTTAAAGCCATATCCACTATTAAATTATTAGTGCTTAAATCATTTCTTACTACTTCTACTCATGTCCTTTTTGGTCTACCCTAAGCTCTTCTAGCCCTTCAGTGTGTAACAAATCACTTACATGTTGTTTCTTGACTACAACACTACTCCATACAATATGGCTGCCCTAACAATTGTTTTATAGATTTTTTTATCAATAACACATTCATTAGCAACTTCATTAAATCAGGAAAAAGATGATTACAAAGAAGAAGACAAGCACTCTTGTCTTCCACATACAGCTTGAGCACCACTGTTTTATAGAATTTTCCTTTTAATCTAAGTGGTATTCGCCTATCACAAAAAAGTCCAAATGCACCCCTCCATTTTGCCCATCTCGCTTTAATTCTTTGAGTGACATCCTCAATCTCTCCCTTGTTATGAATTATTGAACCAAGGTATCGACAATGGTCACATTGAGTTATCTCTCTTGGTCTCCAATCCTAAGTGTATCTTGATTTACACTACTATTATTACCAAATTTACATGTCATATTTAGTCCTACTTATTTTAAAACCTCTTGTTTCTAAGGCAATTTGTCCATAAGCTTAATTTTGTGTTTTATCCTTCATTAGTTTCATCAATTAAAACAATCTCATCCACAAACAACATGCACCATGGAAGTTCCTCCTAAATATGTTTAGTCAATTCATCTATGATCAGTGCAAATAGATAAGGGCTAGTGCTGAACCTTGGTGAAGAACCATAGTAACTGTAAAATCTGAAGTCTCTCCCACTGGTGTTCTGACATTGGTTGTTGTCCTCCTTATTTAGGTTTATATACCCATTTTGAGTCCCTTTCTCTTCCAAGATCCACCATATTATCTCTCTAGGAACTCTATCATATGTCTTTTCTAGATCGATGAACACCATATGAAGATCTTTCTTCTTCTCTCTAAACTTTTCTATCAATCATCTCAAAAGAAGTATAGCTTCCATGGTTGATCTCCATGGCACAAGGCCAAATTGGTTCTCTGATACACTTGTTTCAAGTCATAATCTTTGTTCAATTATTCTCTTCCAAAGTTTCATAATGTGGTCCATAAGTTTAATCCCTCGATAATTATTACAACTTTGTATATCACCTTTGTTCTTAAATATAGGCACCATATTGTTGTTTCTCAATCATTAGGCATCTCCTTTTCTTTCACTAGCTTATTAAATAGCTTAGTTAGCCATAATAAATCTACCTCTCCCATATCCTTAATTAGGAATATATAACAACTGGATAGGAATTCAAAATGTCCTTGATCTTCTTTAGATAGTGTACCAATCTCCATGATACTTAATGCACCCTATTGGCCCACCTAACCTAATTGCATTAATGGAATCACAAAACATTGCCACATACGAGGGTTGGAGATATTTAGCATTATTCAACCAATGAGTAATGGAGATCCATTCAGATCTTTGGAGACCCCCTCCTGATTGGACCTAGTTACCAAGAGAACTGCCGTTAAAATAAAGTGTAATGTATCCATCTACTTGTGGATGTGGAGGGATGAAAATCCTTGGTAGAGGAGAGCTTCTTTTAGATTTCTTTGTACAATATTGAAGGAAATGCCACTAAATCAATGCCTAAGAATTTGTAAGAAAATAATGTGGCTTCTCAAAGCTTCAAGTTTTCAACAGAGGCACTAGAACCTTAAAATATCTGCTTGCTTTTTCTTCCCACACTCCCACATGACAACATGTATAACTGCCTTCTAAGTTACAACACAGGTTTTATCTAGTGCCTAACCCACATATTTCAATTCTTGCAGCAGGACAACTCATCAATATTTTGAGGGGCCACCCAGTCCACCACAATTATAAGGCCCACAAAGACATGCTAGAAATTATTGTTACTCAGTCATAAATGTGAAGCTAATTTTGATTCCTTTAGGCACATAATACAAGCTTGAGGAGAGACATGAAGGGCAATGGGCATCCTTCTCTTTTAGGACTGAATCAAAAGTGCTGATCTTTCCTGGGGGTGCCAGCCATAAAGAGAAGCATACTCTAGATAGAACAAAAGAAAAGCAGTTTTTTTTCCAAGGAATACATGCTAATCAGGGTTAAAAATCAAAGTCCGGGCCTATGGGGAAAATATTTAGTGGTAAGAGACCTAATGATTGGGTTTGGGGCAACCAAATTCTAGTATCAAGGGTAGATGGAGAAATAAAAACATCCCAAGGACTGCTGATAAGAGAGACAAATTCCTCTATCTTGGAATTAGTAGGAGGATGTTTAAATGTAAATGCCAGGCCAAACCATTGTCATCATGAAATAGGAAGCCAAAAATTACAGCATCCTTATGCAAGGTGAACTGAAATATGCATGGGAAAGAGGAGCTCAAACTGTAGTTGCAAAATGGTGTGAGTTGATGTTACTGTCCCACCTGTTCGTGTTCATCCTGAATTTCTTGTAGATAATGGATATCCAAAGGTTTGATTGCTCCTCGCACATAGATCACCAATCCTAATAAGGTCTCTTTTTCTCCACCTCCATCCCATAAAAAAAATTCCTGTAAAGTTGTTCAATATGGTCCCTCAACTTATTAGGACTCTGGAACACTAAAAGATAGTAAACCAGGAGATTTGCCTGAGCATAAATCTTCCTCATTTAGTGTTTAGAGATGTACTTCCTCTTCCACATTGCTAAGCATCTCTGACATTTTCCAATTACTTGATATCAATGAGGCAAAAATTGTGGGTTTGCACCCAAGGTCCCAAAAACCTAATTGGATATTTCTCCACCCTACACCCCAAATTGTTTTTTGAAAATTCTTTGCCCAGATCTTGTATTCGCAAGTACAGTTTCTACTACTTTTTCAAGAAACCATGAATATAAAAAGTCACCCCTTCCCCGTTTTTCTTTTCTTTCCATAATTTCAGAAAGGATGAAATAATCAACGGTAATAGCTAGTTTTTTTATAAGTATCAATAGTAATAACTAATAACCCCTCTAGAACTATAATTGTCTTATGATGTATCTTCTTTTTTGATATGGATGTACCGGTTAGGTGAAATCTCTTCATTGTTGGACTATAATTCTTTATTTTTTATTTTTTCTCAAAATTCTAAAATTTAATGCCCAAACCAGTGATTCAAATCTAGTGGGAGTAGGAAGACTGGTGGCATGGAAAACTTATATTTCTAAATAATGTGTACAACTTTCTTGGGGCCATTAATACCCATGACAGGTTTAGTTCCTTCTTGAGATTATGCCAACTAGAGCAAGAAAGACGGGAACAGGAACATAAGGACCCATCTTTGAATGTTGGCAAGTAACATCTCATAACTACAGAGAGTAAATAATATGTGCCCTTCAAGTATTAAGAACCACCAACCAACCATAACACAAGCAGTGCTAACAAAGTAGTTGAAAGTTCCCAAAAGTTTTCTGGAGCCAATGTCTTAATCTCTGCTGGGGGAAATTAATGGATTCCCTAAACAGATCTACAGTTTTCCTAAGAACTTCAGAATAACATATCTTGCATATCCATAAACAAACAAACAAACAATTTTTACAGAAGAAATACAAATAACAAGTGTTCTCAGGAACCAAACACTGGAATTAAAACAATGCCGACATGAAACGAAGTACAATTGAAATAAAATGTTGCATAATGCCATTTGGATGCAACTGAAGATGCTAAAACATAAACAAATAGATGAGATTATCCGAACTTGAAATTACCCTGTTAGTGTCAATGATGTCTCACCGTATTCTTCTGATTGTCATGTTCTGCCTCATCTACAGGTCCTTGTATTCTGCAACTCCCTTTCAAGACTGGTGTAATCTAAAAAGAAGGTTAAATTCACCATTAATAATCATCTCCTATTCCATGACCATAACAACTTCAAGACAACTAAATACCAAGGATCAAATACAATTACTGAATCACCAAAAGGAGACTATGTCTCTGAACATAATGCTGCCATGGTTGAAAGGCAGAATGTTTCACAAATACTGGAACGATGATTAATTTAGCATGCACATTATTCAGAAGTAAATCAGTAACGCCCCAACCAATATACTGAAAACCAAAAGATTCAATTCCCAGATTAATCAAAAACCCTAAACAAAGCGATCAAAAAAAAAAGCCAGTAAATTCTATAAAATGAGTCTTACATAAGCAGACTTTCTCCAACACAGAAAACCCTAATATCCGAACGATAATTAAACCCAACTTGTAAGCCAATATTGAAAGTTTATCTAAAAAAATCAAATGAATCAAGCCCCAAAAACCTGGCTTTCCGCAGATTCACATCTATCACCCAACAAAGTCTAATAAAAATCAAAACTACAATTCCGAAAACATGATCAAACAACAAAGTAAACACAAAAGCACTCAAAAACGAATCCATGAACCCTAATTGAAGCCTGAAAATTAAAAAGATAACATCTTTACATGCCTCCGGTTGCGCAATCTTCTCGGTAACATCGTACAGCTCTTTGATTGCCCGTTCTTTCCGCCTTGTCATTGCCGAACAGATCAGATTAAAAGTTAAAACCAGTCCGCAATCGATCAGATTCAATTCCAGAATTGAGTCTTCATCCAAAGGAACTTAGGGTTTATTTCGCTCGCAAAAATTCATCCCATACGAGAGATGATTACAAGGAAAGAGCGAAAATATAGGGTCGGAGATATTAATGGAAACAACACAGGGAAAATGCTACTGTGAATTGTGGTAGGGTATGCGGTTAAACTGCGCCCACAAGGATCAGCACAGCAGGGACCGTCTAACGGAATTGTCACAGATCTGAAGCCCAATCTTTAGCTCCCCTCCCAAGAATCCATGGCCTCGCCTGTTCACACACACAGATAAGCGTGTTCTTTGCTTTGCTCTCCTCTTCTCTCCTTCTCTCTCCTCCTCCAGCTTTAGAAGATTTCTCTTTCTCCCTCTAGTTTCTGTCTCCCTCTCTCTCTCTCTCTCTCTCTCTCTAATTCTAATTCCGGAAAAAACAAGTTAATCTCTGATTTTTTTTTGTTTTGCTTTTTGTGGTGTTTTGATTTGATTTTGGAACTATGAATCCGTGCTCTCAAATATGTAAATAAATATGATATCACATTTTTATTTTATTTTTCTATTTTCTAATTTAAAGCTGCGGAGGTTACAAGCCACTGGGGCACGTGCGGTCCAACACGCGTGCTGAGTCGTGCGGTCTCTCCGTCTCTGATCTGATGGAGCAAAACTGACTGAGAGCCACGAACCTGTGTGCGTGTGGACTTTCTCTATTTTTTTTCCCCTTGTACTCTCTCTCTTTCCCTTTTTAGTTTTTACCTACAAACGTGATCCTTACAAACAACGGTTTCTTTCCCACGAAGTTAATAGAACCAATGACGTGGCTACACGTGTGCTACGTCTCATAGGTTGGGCCAACTGATATTAGTTATTACTGGAGGAGGGTTGATGGACGGTGGCGAGCGTCTGCAAACAAATGGCAAAAACTGGGAAGAGGCGGTGGAATGTGTTGTAAGAACTTTTATTTAAGAACCAAAGAATTGTGCTTCGGTCTATGGTCTTTAGTCTTTGCCTATGATGTCATGGCACCGGGTGTACGCCAATAAGATATAATTTGAATACTGGTCGTTGGTTGACGTCACGAAAATGTGTATTTGATTAGAGTTTGCTTATTATAAATTTAACTTGCCAAATGGCTACGTTATCTGTGTTCATACTTATCAGTCTGACCCAATCTATCTCTTTGCCCATATCTATTGCATTTCCTAATTATTATGTTCTACGTTCTAACCATATACTTATCGTCCATAAAGCTTCATCCCTATTTATATGGATCTGCTATATATATCAGACCTGTTCCACTATTTCCTTATGTTCAATACCATTTCATCATCTAAACCTTATCCTAATTAGGGGTGTCAATTAGACTGGATTTGATCCAATCCAATCCAGTCCAATATGAGTCCATTATAAATGGATCAGGTCCAATTCAATCCAATGAATGTTTTGGACCAATTTGGGCTGGTCCAATTCAATGTCTAGACCATCCAATCTATTCAAATTCATTTTGATTTAGATTGGTTTCAATCCAAACTTGGTCCATTGATACGTATATTCTTATCTTATATCAATGGACTAGATATTGGCTTAACCAACTGAATCCAATATAAAATTGTTACAAACAGACCAGGTCCAATCCAATCTAATAAATATTTTGGATCGGATTAGTCCAATCCAATATATCCTATTGGTCCATCCAATCCATTCAAATTGATTTTGGATTGGATGAGGTTCAATCCAAAGCCGGTCCATTGGCACCCTTAATCCTAATTATATAGAATCCATTATATAAATCATGTTTCACCATTCAATTCAATTATATTCTATTCAGTGTCATATCTATTATTTACTAAATAATGTGTCTCGATAATCACTCATTTGGTTTAGTAGAAACCTTGGGTTAGATCCCAATGCCACTAATTTGGGGATGAGTTATCCCTAATTAGAGATGGCAATTTTTTTCATTCCCGTTGGGCACTTGGCTTCTTCAACCCAATATATATGGTCAGAGATAGAGATTGCCTTGGTATGGACTAAGGACCTAATGGGGTCGATAGTGATGCCCGGCTAGGGATAGGGATTGAATTCCCTGTCCTACCCTAACATCGATTATATATATTAAATATATACATATACAATATTATTTATATCACATAAATCAAAATGTATTTAAAAAAAAATTGTTTTAACATTCTTCTTATTTTAAGTAAATATATTTTTAAAAATAGTTTTAATTTAAAAATTTCAGAGATTCAGGTCCTCAACAGGAATCCATCCCCATTGGGGATTAGGGAAGGAGGGACATTATTATCCCTAGTGGGGATGGGGCTTGGGAATAGGGATTTATTTCAAATTTGGGGTCTAGGACAAAGAGTATGGTCATTTTTGTCCCTAGTGGGGATAGGACTCAGGGATAGGGATTTATTTTAAATTCGGGGTTAGGGACGGGGAGTATGGTCATTTTTATCCCTAGTGAGGATGGGGCTCGAGGATGGGAATTTATTTCAAATTTCGGGTCAAGGATAGAGAGTATGGTCCCCACCCTGAACCCGCCCTGTTGCCATTCTTGCCCCCATTGTGTAGCCCCATCAAGCCAAAAAAAATGTCTCATCTATTATTAATTTATGAGCACTTAGAGCAATTTTTTATTATTTTCATTCAAGTCCTTTTTGGTTCTATCCTCAATTCTTTTAGCCCTTTCAACTTGTAAGATATCAAGTTTTCTCAACAAGCATTGTTGTAGATAGTCTTCTACACACCTAACCAAACCATGTCAACTTACCTTTTCACAATTCATATATAACAAGATGTTCCCATCATAGAACAACAGCAAAAAATAATAGCATTGATGTAGGCACTCATGGCAGACCTAGAGCACGCCCACGCGTGGCAGAGGCCGCGCACATTGTGGACCCAATTGGGATGTCGTGCGAAGCATAAGCCAGTGTATGACGTGGGCCCAATAGCACGGCCACATGCAATGACCTCAGATTGCCACACACACAAGACTGGACTGCATCCTGGTAGTTTGCGTGCACCTACCTCCAAGCGGTCTCAAGTATAAATAGGGGATGACCCTCATAAGGTGAGGCATCTAGACTCTTAACTACTTAGAATTCAATTACTTTTCGTATGACCTCATCTGAGCTATCCTTACTCAGGCCTTGTCCACCTCCCATCACACCTTCACTAACTTGATCATTGGAGCCACCGCCTCGGGTTAGCACCTGGGGCCTCTGATGTGTTCTTTTCCTTCGTAGGACTGACCTATAGGCTCTCGGGCACAGTGGACCTCAGACTCACTAGCCAGCCCTTGTCTCAGAAGCGTAATTACCTTGTTGCCCTTGACCCATCCAAGGCAGCAATAATTGGCGTTGTTTGTGGAAAACGTCACTAAGACTTCCTAGAATTAAAAAACTCAACTTAAAATTAAACCTTAGGCTTCTGTGGAGATGGCAAGAAACACAAGGAATGCTCAAAATTTGGTCACGATGGACCAATTCCAAGCGGTCCTCAACCAACTCGACAACATTACCCAAAGATTGGGCAAGGTGGAGCGCCCGACAGGAGGCAGCCGCCCCGTTGGGAGCCTAAGGCCCACAGGAGGCAGTTGCCCAGTCAAACCCTACAGGGCCGACCCCTCAGAGTCCAACAGCAGCCTACGCACCAATCAACCATCGAGGGCCTCCTGACCCCTAGCTGACAAGGGGACGACTCAACACGGTCTGGTGATCATCGCCGAGACCAAGGACATCGTCATCAACAAGAAAGCCCCTAGGACGAAGGTGGGCGATCGGGCCACTACAGCCCACCTACGAGGGCTGGGGGCCAATGATGTGCCTCTCCCTCTCGAGTCTCGGACCTCCGAGAGCTCTTGAACGACCAATGGGCCAGGAGGAACAGAAACGCGCCCGCATTGGAGTACTCGGGGAACAGGGCCAACCCGCATTGCGTCCGGGAGAGCCAGGATGAAGCCTAGTCCCCCATCAACCAAAAGATTGTTGACTTACAGGCGCAGCTCGGCACCGTCAAGGATGAACTCTGCATGGTCAAGGAGAGCCAAATTGACGCCTCGTCAAGTCAAAACCCTTTTGTTTGGGAAACTAGATGCCTTCTCTGTTGACATCACCTCGGAGCCCCTCCTGCCGCATTTCAAAGCTCCGACGCTCGAGATGTATGATGAAACCATAGACCCGGATGATCACCTTGAAAGCTTTAGGACACTCATGCTACTCTATGCATACTCCGACACCTTGATGTGATGGGCCTTCCTAGTGACCTTTAAGGGGGCGGCTCGCCAATGGTTTTCTGGGCTCCCCCATCGATCCATCATCTCATGGGAGCAGTTCGCCAGTCTCTTCCTCATCCATCATCCACTTCATCAATAGCCGATAGTGCTAGAAGAGTGTCGTTTCACTCATGATCGTTTGGCAAAAATGTGGCGAGAGCTTGCGGTCCTATATCAACCGCTTCAAGAAGGAGGAACTTGAGGTCCGGGACCTCTACCCCATGGTCTCCATGCATGCATCCATCAATGACCTCTTGTCGGGCTTGACCCTTAAATTCTCCATTGCCAACACACCACCCAAATCCAAGGTGAAGTTTTTGAAGAAAACCCAAACTCCACTCGAACACTGGGACTGAGAGGCCGACCATCACCACAGAGACCCAGAGAAGAAGAGAAATGGAGACGGTCAAAACGTCGGCAACAACAACAACAAGGACAATAAGAAGCCACTGGCCTCGGCCCTAGATTATAACAAATACACATTACTCAACTCCACCCGAAAACAAATCCTCATGAAAGTAGGGAAGGAGGAGTATGTGAAGTGGCCTGAGAAAATGAAGAGGAACCCCAAGAGGGCTAACCCGAAGAAGTACTACAAGTACCACCGTGGCACTGGCCACGACATCGAAGACTACTACAACTTGAAGAACAAGATTAAGGCCCTCATCCATTGTGGCCACCTCAAGGAATATGTGGGTTGTGAGGCCAATGCCTCGTCCTCGCAACAACAACAGCAGTCGCAGCAGTTAGCTGGTGTTATCGATGTCATCATCGAGGGCACGACCTCTGCCCAAAAAGCTTACGCCAGGCAGCTGAACATCCAAGGGTCGGCTCCCACGAAGCCAAAGCAGAGTAAAGCCATCACTTATATAGATGAGGACTTGAATGGGATCTCGGTCCCCCATGACGACGCGCTAGTAGTATTAGCCATCATCACAAACTTCATGGTAAAGAGGATATTGGTTGACAGTGGCTCCTCAACCAACATCCTCTTCTACGATGCCTTTGAGAAGATGAAGTTGGCGCCCGAGTGCTTCCTGCCAACTGACGTGCCACTCATCGGATTCTCCGGGAATGTTGTCAGACCGGAGGAAAAAATTACCCTACCTGTCACAGTAGGGACAAAACCTTGGCAAGTGACGAGGATGAATGAGTTCCTGGTCGTGAAGATTGGCAACCCCCTACAATGCCA